AAAAAGTAGTGCATACTGTCTACATTTCTCATATTCAAAATCTCTACTGCTGCTTCGGCAATCCTGGTTTTTTATTAATTTTGAGTTTCAGAATTTTTTAACTTTATTCGTTCTTCAAATTTTGAAGAGAGAGGGAGAGAACGAAAAGAAAAGTGTGAAATAGGTTGACATGCTGGCAGTTAGTGATTTCTGTATCCCCTCGCTTAAAGATGTCCAAATTTTGGTAATATTTCTTTAAAAGGAGCAGAGCCAGTTCTCGCAGTGTTCGAAGGGATCGAGTGATTTGTGCTGATTGATTGGGTACATTCGCCTGTCAGCAATGTTTCATTCATTTTCCTGGGAATCACATTTCGCGGAGTTTTAGCCTCTTAACTTGATGTTAAGCGCAGTGTCAAATTTTGTTATGCTTCTTAAAGCTTTCATCCTTCAGTACCTGCCTCCAAAGTAAACATCTGTAGTAATCAACAAGAATTCGTGCAAAAAAATAGGGATTTATTAATTCAAAACGTGCGATGCAGAACCGAAAAATCTGGCTTTTGCTATTCCCCGCTTCTTCGCAAGCGATCTCGGTAATATCACTAAAGTAAAATCCCCACACCGACCACCTGGGTTGCTTTGGTAATCTGAGAAAATATTTTTTATGCTTTTCGTTTAAGCAGCTTTTCGTTTAAACAGCTTTTTCGACGGGTGGTTACAGTTGGCAGTGTGATGCTGCTCGGACCACTTCCGTTCGCCTTTAGCTCTTAAATTTTAAGCGTCTGTCGCTTTATTGTCGTGTTTCTGCTTGTCACTGAGGTAGCTAGCAACTTCTCAATCCCTCTCGCTGCTTATTGAAACCAAATATCTTTGTACACGCTTGCACACGAGTTTTGCCCACTACGCTGGCAACCTTTTCAGTATTCATTAGCATTTCGTAAGTACCATTCACTAATCCTCTTTGACCATCTGCTATCTTTTTGAGATCACAACTTATTGAGCTTTTTTCGTTCTTCCTCCTTCCGCCTTTAACACTTTCCGGATCTCTCCAAGATGAGCTTTTTTTCCAGTAATGCTCGCAGTTGTGAGCAAAAATGATAGCAAAAAAGAATTTTTATTTTGAAACTATGATTTCAGCGTTTAACTGCTGCTGAGCGCGAATACAAAAAAAATTGACGAGTTGAAATTTTCACCATTTAGCTGCAGATGCAGCTTGTAGTGCGCATGAGGAACAAAGCGAACTACTTCTCCTCATAAAGTATGCATGAATATTCACAGGAAGCGATTTGGCACGGGATGAGTTAAAAATAAGGGGCAATGAACTGATTAGGAGTTTATCACATTTTAAGAAACAAAAATTAATTCTCTTTGCAGGGCGATCGCAAGGGGGTGGAGTATGCTATTTGCCCAGTGGTTCACGTTTAACAAAAGCTATCCGAAAAGAGTACCGAATGTTGACGGACGAAGAAAGAGAAAGATTTCACAATGCTATTATACAACTGAAACGTTCCGGAGAATACGACACGATGGCGCTGATACATGGTCAAGCCGCCGTTAGCGGTGGCGCCCATTCCGGGCCTGCTTTTCTGCCCTGGCACCGAGAATTTATGAAAAGGTCTCTTTTTATAACTGCTGAAATTTGATTTTAATTGTTGACTCACAGAACGATGCTAATAGTATTTTTAAAAAAACAGTTGCCGTAACTCCTGTCTTATTTGACACTTTAGCCAGCTGCAGTTTATAACGAAATTTTCTAACAATTAGCAACTTTTCCAGTTGTTTTGACCAATGGCTACACGGCTGGATGACCAACTTGCTAGTAAACTTGACACGTTGTTCATCTAATGAAGGGAATACAAGCCGAACTGGTTCGCTGATACTCCTTCCCATGACTCAAAAAATCTTGGCCTCCAAAATGCGTCCGAATGAGTGAGACACAATGGGAATGCCATTTTGGATATAATCCCTTTTAATCTAGTCGCACTCAACACTAATGTTTTGTAATCAAAAAAGAGGAACACAGTTCCCTTCCTGAATATAGCATGTTGACTTTCTTGCGTTATGATTCTTCTAGCCCCACTTCTTGCTTTCGAAAAGCCATCGAAACCAGCGAAAGATGTTGACACCACACAAAAAACCGTCGGCCATGTTCATTTATTACAGTGAAAATAACCATATTTTGTTTTTTGAACTTTTGAGATCAAGGTACCCCTTTTGTGGATTCACTCCGTCCCCCTACTGTTAGTTCCTGCTTTTTGCTTACTTTATATCATTGCTTCCTCCACCATGTTAGTAAACGCTTTGATTTTCAAAAAGGTTTGAGATTGCTCTTCGACAAATTGATCCGTCGGTGGCCGTCCCCTACTGGGATTCAACTTTGGATAACGGATTGCCGGATCCGCGTGACTCAGTGATGTGGACAAACGAACTGATGGGCACCACAGATGCTAGCGGTACACTCAGTGGTGGCGATTTCGCTCATTTCCTAACATTCAAGGTTGATTATTCTAAAAATTCCCGCGAAACAAGCAGCCCACTGAGTTCAAAGAACGTTCTGAGTCAACAGACTCGCAATGTTAACTTTGATTGTTATAGGAAGTCAAAACTGAAACAAATCGAAAACCTTTGTTAAAATTAGTTCGCAGAGTGACTGAAAAGCGATGACCGCTGGCTTTCTGCTGCTAAAATTTTAAGTGCTTTAGAAAGACCGGCGTGTAAGACGTCGTGTTGGAGCACAGGGATCGCCTTTCAAACCTTCCGAGATTGACTGGTTCTTGCAGCAAAATCGAATCGAGAACGTCCTAGCCTACACTGCTCCTAGACAGGTAACGCTTCAACTTCTGTTTCTTACACGGACTGGAATTTTGAGTAGCAAATGCAGTGAAAATTTGCACAAAAAGAATTGATAATCTTTGTGATGGGAAGAGACTTTTAAAGCTGGCCTAAAAGAGGCGATAGTGGTACCAATTATAATAAATCTGACAAAGGGGACGGGACTTGGGTACCAATCAGTAAAAAATAAAAAAGTCATTAATTATGGCGTTTAATGTAAAAATCCGGGTTTTTCCAATAGTCAGAATTCATCGTGTTATCGATAACTTTTTACTAGTACCTTGAAAGCTTGTACCTTAATAAATAAAGCAAGGAAGTTCAAAGAAGAGTTCAAAACACAGCAAAAGAGTTCAAAACACAGTTAAAAAATTGCTAATAAAAAGCTCTTCCTAAATCAGTAAATTCCTTACTATGGTCAACGGTTAACAATGCCCGTGAAAAATCATTAAAAGCTAATAATATATTTTGTATTTGTTTAAAAAAATTATTTTTCAAGGGTTGCCAGTATCGTGCTAACTACAATGCACTGGAATATACGCACGGAAATCAGCATATTTTTGTCGGAGGCGACATGTTCGATCCGTACACATCCGGCAACGATCCCTCATTCTACTTGCATCACTCATTCGTGGACTATATCTGGGAGATGTATCGCCAACGGAGACAGGTGGCTAAAGAATTTCATGCATAAATCCAGAAGAATTTAATCTTAGTTATCTTGGTAAGCAAGCTGAGTAGGCGCATTGAACCCTGCCAATGATAAAAACCCAGGCTGCAACGCAACAGGCTAGCCGATGCAATCATGCGTTTTTGCGCTAAACCTGAAAATCGCTAACAGCAGGAATGGTCCTTACGCTCCACTTTAACAGTTGGACTGATATTGGCCATGTCTTTTCCCGCATCTAGGGAGGAAGGGCGTCGGCTGGAATGAAGGTGTTGCATTGTGGGGCCGCATGGACCTCCAGCGTGCATGATTATTAGTTTTTTTGCGCGAAGCCCTGTCGTTTTTTCGGCGAGTGATCATTCATTAAAAAAGTGCAAATTTGAAGGAAGTCCTAGGTTCTAGAGTATCGAAACGCACTCGCTCTTGAGTTTGCGATAAAATCATGCCTGCGTACATGGAATTCCAACTCCAAACCGAATTAAGGCCAGACATAAATATAGAATATCCCTGCAAAGTTACAACTTCGTAGCCTGCCTGTTAAGCGAAATAGCCACTTCGCCACAAATATTTTTGAATTACTCTAAGTCGTGACGCAAGTGCAAATCGAAACTCAGTTTAGGCATATGATTCCCTGTATGAATGATAAATACTCTGAGAAAATTTCAGCTTGCAGATACACAGAGAATATCCCTGAAAAGTTTCAGCCTTCTATTTTGCCTTGTTCGCAAAATCGTTTCCCACCAAAGAAATGTGCATGTTTTCTTCGCGAGCCCGTACTCGAGATCCAGGCGCGTATTAGCGAAGATTTTAAAATGGTGAATCATGGATCGAAAATCGGAAATATGCCCTCAAAAATTGAGCCAATATGTCCTCAAAGCGGGTGACAAAATTTACTCGCTTCCAAACACAATACACACACGGTCTTTGCTCGCTATAAAACACATAAAAATGAGTCTGTCCTTAATTACACCACTAATTAACTTTGTTTGCAACACGGAGTTAATGGTGTCTTATGTGATTTTAGACCCGATATCAGCGTGAGAACGACTACCCGCCAGATAATCAAGCGTGTAGTAGTGCTCTACATTTTGGGTCCGCGATGATGAGACCTTTCACGCCACTGCGAAATATCGACGGCCTTAGCAATAAATACACCGACAATTTGTATGAATTTGCTCCGCGTCCAAGCTGTCAGAGTGGCCCCACTTGCGGATCGAAGTAAGTTAAACGTATTGATAATAAACGCCCCAACGCCGATGAGGACAACCGATGAGGACAATTAGATATCTAACAGTTTCCAAATATTAACAAGACTAATATGGCCAGCCGAATAATCGGTGTTGGGGGTCATAAGTTAGTGATGCTATTGAGTTGCTGCTGCGAATACCAGGCTAAACTATATCAGGCTCTTCTGTTCTGAGCTACATACCTCCGGTTAGTATCCACCGCCTGCCGAGTGTTTGTCCAAATCCACTGAAGTGACAGATGCAGTCTAATTTACGTAAGTAGCTGTTATTGCTTGAACAGAATTCCTATTCTAGGGCTTTGCAAAGCAGGAAGCCCTCAAACAAAAAAAAAACTTTCCAGGTATCTCTTTTGTGATCGGTCACATGGACAGCCGCGTTGTGTATCGCAGGTTCGAATCGGCGGACGATGCGACGGTTTTGTGAATGGAGAGCCGGTCTGTCATCACGGAATGTGTGTTTCCGGACGCTGCGTAGCCGCTCGAGAATTCCCGGTATGTTCTGATTATGGATTTCGGGGTTCCGGTTTATATATGTTTTTGCTGTGCAGCGCTGTAGCGCTAATACAACGAGCAACCCAGGATGGAACCCACCAGGCGAGCCAGTGCGATCGTGCTTTTTTGCAGCAGACTTGAAGTAATTAGACTAACTACATAAGCGGTTGTTTCTTCACACCTACCTTGTGCGTTAATACCGTAAATTATCGTAAATTTTGCATAAAAGGAAACAAACAATTTTCGTTTAGCGGCCGTTTTTATGCGTTTTTGCCTATATGCAAATTGCAAAAACGCATATTGGGACGAC